TCCTCTCCATAACTCGTTGTTTACCTGGATTTTTACACTGATTTGCCGATTCTAACTGGTGTTGAGTTGGTAATCTCTTGTGGTTTTGATTGGCATTTCTTGTTGTGAAGTGATTCATTGAGATTTTGTTCATGTGTCTGCTTGGCTGCTAAAATTGTCTTCTTCAGAAGTGTTGTTCTATCTTTTGCTCACTTTTTGATGGGGTTGTTTTTGAATGTTTTTCTTGTAATTGGTTTGAGTTCTTGCTAGGATCTGGATATTAAGCCTTTGTCAGGTAATAGGACTTGCAAAAAATTTTCTCCCATTTCTGGTAGGTTGCCTGTTTCACTGCTGGCATGGTAGTTTCTTTTTTGCCTGTGCACGAAGCTCTTTAGTTAATTTGATCCCATTTGTTCATTTTTGGCTTTGTTGGCCAATTGCTTTTAGGTGTTTTAGGACATTTTTGAAAGTCCTTTGCCATGCCTATTGTCCTGAATTGGGTATTGCTAGGGTTTTTTCTAGGGTTCTTTTGTTTTGGTCTAAAAATGTTACAGTATTCTATCCATTCTGAATTATTTTGGAATAATAAAGGTGTTTGGAGGAGGGATCCGTTTTCAGCTTTTTACATATGAGGCTTAAGACATATTCCCCAAAAGCAAACTTTTAATTTAAATAAGGGATCCTTTCCAATTTTATGTTTTTGTTGGTTTGTCCAAAGAGATCAGATGGTTGTAGACTGTTTGTTTATTCCTGGGTTTCTATTCTGTTCCAATTGAATCTTATCTTCTGTTGGTACCCAGGTACCCCCCATTGCTGTTTTGGTTTACTGTTAGCCCTTGTGTATAAGGTTTGAAGTCAGCGGGCATGATGCCTCCAAGCTTGTTCTTTTGAACTTTCTTTGGGCAAATGCGGCCTCTTTTTTGGTTCCATATGAAACTTAGTAGTTTTTTCATTCGTGAAAGGAAAGTCGATTGGTAGCTTAATGGGAATGGCATTGGGAATCTATAAAAATTACTTGGGGCAGTTGGGGCCATTTTCACAATTATTGATTCTTTCCTATTCCATGAGGCATGGTAATGTTTTTCATTGTGGTTTGGTGTTCCTTCTTTTTATTCATTGAGCAGTTGGTTTGTAGTTCTTGGAGAGGTTTTCCTTTTTCACATCCCCTTGTTAAAGTTGGTTTTCCTAGGTTTATTCTCTTTGAAGCCATCATGAATGGAAGTTTATTTCATTGATTTTGGCTTCTTCTGTTTGGTCTTTATTGCGTATATAAGAATGCTCATGTGAATTTTTAACACATTTGATTTTGGTATTTCTGAGACTCTTGGTGAAAATTCTTTAATCAGCTTAAGGAAAGATTTGGAGCTGAGACAAATGGGGTTATTTCTAAGATCCTACATCATTGTCATCTGCAAAACAGGACAATTTGACTTCTTTTCTTTTTACTTAAATGATTTGCTTTATTTTCTTTCTTCTGTTGATGCGCCCTTGGCCAGAAATTCCAAATACTTATGTTTGAATAGGATGGTGAGAGAGGGCATCCCTGTTTTGTTGCCTGTTTCAAACGGCATGGCTTTCCACTTTTTTGCCCATTCAAGTATGATATTGGGTTGTGGTTTGTCATAAATAGCCTTCTGTATTATTTGATATACGTTTCCCCATCAAAACCTAGTTTATTTGGGTTTTTAGCGATGAAGGGCTGTGAATTTTGTCAAAGGCCTTTTTGATCTATGCGACAAAAATCATGTGGGGTTTTGTGTTTTGTTTTCTGTTTAGTTGCTGGATTAACGGGTTTATTGGATTTGCATATTGTTGAACCAGCCTTGCATTATGTTCCAGCCTTGAACAGATGAAGCCCACTTGATTCAATGGTGGATAGCTTTTGATGTGCTGCTGGCATCAGTTGCCAGATTTTATTGAGGATTTTTGCATTGACGTTCTTATCAGGGATACTGGTCTGAAATTCTTCTTTTTTTTGTTGTGTCTCTTGCCAGGCCTTTGTTTCAGGATTGATGATTGGCTCAATAAAAATGAGTTAGGGAGGATTCCCTCTTTTTCTATTGATTGGAATAGTTTCAGAAGGAACGGTACCAGCTCCTCCTTGTATGTCTGGTAGAATTCGGCTGTGAATCCGTCTGGTCCTGGACTATTTTTGGTTGATACGCATTAATTATTGCCTCAATTTCAGAGCCTGTTATTGGTCTATTCAGGGATTCAACTTCTTCCTGGTTTAGTTTTGGGAGAGTGTATGTGTCCAGGAATTTATCAGTTTCTTCTAGATTTTCTAGTTTATTTGCGTAGAGGTGTTTATAGTATTCTCTGATGGTAGTTTGTATTTCTGTAGGGTCGGTGGTGATACAGCCTTTATCATTTTTTATTGCATCTATTTGATTCTTCTCTCTTTTCTTCTTTATTAGTCTTGCTAGTGGTCTATCAATTTTGTTGATCTTTTCAAAAAACCAGCTCCTGGATTCATTGATTTTTTTGGAGGGTTTTTTTGTGTCTCTGTCTCCTTCAGTTCTGCTCTGATCTTAGTTATTTCTTGCCTTCTGCTAGCTTTTGAATGTGTTTGCTCTTGCTTCTCTAGTTCTTTTAATTGTGATGTTAGGGTGTCAGTTTTAGATCTTTCCTGCTTTCTCTTGTGGGCATTTGGTGCTATAAATTTACCTCTACACACTGCTTTAAATGTGTCCCAGAGATTCTGGTATGTTGTATCTTTGTTCTCATTGGTTTCAAAGAACATCTTTATTTCTGCCTTCATTTCTTATGTACCCAGTAGTCATTCAGGAGCAGCTTGTTCAGTTTCCATGTAGTTGAGTGGTTTTGATTGAGTTTCTTAGTCCTGAGTTCTAGTTCGATGGCACTGTGGTCTGAGAGACAGTTTGTTATAATTTCTGTTCTTTTACATTTGCTGAGGAGTGCCTTACTTCCAACTGTGTGGTCAGTTTTGGAATAAGTGTGATGTAGTGCTGAGAAGAATGTATATTCTGTTGATTTGGGGTGAAGAGTTCTGTAGATGTACATTAGGTCCGATTGGTGCGGAGTTGAGTTCATTTCCTGGATATCCTTGTTAACTTTCTGTTTCGTTGATCTGTCTAATGTTGACAGTGGGGTGTTAAAGTCTCCCATTATTATTGTGTGAGAGTCTAAGTCTCTTTGTAAGTCTCTAAGGACTTGCTTTATGAATCTGGGTGCTCCTATATTGGGTGCATATATATTTAGCATAGTTAGCTCTTTTCATTGAATCGATCCTTTTACCATTACATAATGGCCTTGTCTCTTTTGATCTCTGTTGGTTTAAAGTCTGTTTTATCAGAGACTAGGATTGCAACCCCTGCCTTTTCTTGTTTTCCATTTGCTTGGTAGATCTTCCTCCATCCCTTTATTTTGAGCCTATGTGTGTCTCTGCAAATGAGATGGGTCTCCTGAATACAGTATACTGATGGGTCTTGACTGTTTATCCAATTTGCCAGTTAGTGTCTTTTAATTGGACCATTTAGCCCATTTACATTTAAGGTTAATATTATTATGTGTGAACTTGATCCAGTTCTCCCGGGAGACCAGGCCATGGCCCACAGCCCCAGCACTTCCAGGCACAGCTCCGGATGCCAAGTCCACCTGGACCCGGACTGAGATTAGAGAAGCCTGGAGAGGTGCGGGGGTGCGCAGGGAGCATGGGCTGTGGTCGCCATGGTGCCTGTTGGTCTTGTGGAGATGGATGCTCCTCTGGGTCAATCTCTGCCTTCTCGGGGTCGCCCTCAGTGTCGCTGCTGAAGAGGCCTCCGTCCTCCTGGTCCTTGTTGTGCAGGTCCCACGTCACCGCGTTCTTCTTGAGGTGCCGGCGGTCGTTGGGGAAGCTGGTGGAGACTGGTGTGAGGGTCATCATGGGCAGGGAAGGGTCTTCTCCTTCCGGAATTTGGAAAGCCAGGCCAAGGCCCTCGTTCTCTCCCAGAGAGCTGCGCTCCATCCGCGGGCCTGCCTGCGCGTGGAGAGAGCTGGGAGGCGGGGACAGGAGACCTGAGCCCCTGGGCGCCTCTCCCACGTGTCCCCCAGTCCCAACACTGGACCTCTTCAGGTTCCTCGCAGAGAGAGGCCTCGTTCCCAGGCCGGATGCGCCGCGCAGCGGTGAAAGCCGCCTTCGCAGCCCGCAGGCGACCAATGGGTGCCCTTGGCTTTCGCCCGGAGGAGGGGACGGGCATGGGGGCACTGGCTGCGGCGGAGCGCCGCGGGGTAGCTGTGGGGGTCGTGCGGTGGTTATGGAGGAGGCTCCATCCGCCAGCCCTGGGCTCTGGGCGAGCGGGGGAGACCGGAGTTTTTCCCCAGCACGGAGCCGCGCAGGCCGGCGACCCCGCCCCAGGGCTCTACTGCTGGGACAGCGCCCCCGGCGCCGCTCCCGCCCCTCTTCAGCGCAGTCTGCGCCTCTCGCTGGGCCTCGCCAGCTCGCAGTGCGCGTTTCTGCTGCGGTAAACGCACTGAAGGAACGCACAGCTTATCAAATAGGGTTTTGAACTGATTTTCGGTACGCCAGCTGGGGTGTGCTTCGCCCAATTCTGATCCTGTTTCCAGAGAACACAGCTGCTTAGACGATCTGTTATCTTCGCGTCCTGCCTTCCTTTTGGCGCCAGAACATCCTAGAGATCAGGGGCCTCTCCCATGCCCTGGAACCATCCTCTCACTGTGCTGCTCTTCCTTGGTGCCTTCAACAGAGCTCCCGAAGGCAGGCCTGGATCGGGGCGACTGGGGCCCTGAAGTGAGATGGAGCAAGGCAGAGCGACCCTCGGGAGAGGGGCATGGGGCAGCCCTGTGCTTTAGACTCGGCACCCTGTGGCTTGAGGAGGTGTCACTGTGTCGACGTGCGTGTGAAGGGAGGACGGCTGAAGGTACATGCGGCCCCCGGGACCTCACAAACTCCGCGGACGCGAGTCACACCCGAGCGCACGCGCCGCAGGGGCGTTAGCTACGGCGGGGCGAGGCGGGGCCAGGCGGGGCCAGGCGGGGCCAGGCGCCCTGCTGCAGACAGGCGCGCTCCCTTCTGGGCGAGCGGGTGCGGGGCGCGCGCCATGGAACAGCGGTTAGCTGAGTGTCGGTTTGCGCGCAAACTGCCTGCCTGGCGGCCCAACAAAGCGTTTCCAGCCAGGACGCACAAACCTCGGGAGAGAAGGCGGAAGCCGCAGCGACTCTAAAGGCAGCCCCCGGCTGACTAAAGCTGTTCTTGGTACGGAAACCGAGGCCCCAGTGCTCGGGCCCTACCCAGCCTGATTCAGGTGAAAGGAGGGAAGCCTCGGCCGGGTACCGGCGTCAGAGCCACAGTCGGACCTGGCCCTGCTGCCGGGGCGGGTCGGCTGGGCCTCCCTCCCGCTCCGGGCTAGACCTGACGTCTCCTGCCTTTCGCGTCCGCACTGCTCCGGGCTTTAACATTTTCTTTCCAGCCCGCGAACCACGCAGCTCTGGATTCCAGGCAAGAAGCGAGGGTCAGGGTCCCGAAAGAAAGCACCCCTGTCCTTGAATTATTCACCCCGAATTGAATTATCATGACACCCTGTGGCTTTGGGAAACCTCCCCACAACCAAGTGGAGCCACAGCCCTCGGCTAAATGAGGGTAGAAGGTCGAATTAGATACTGATCAAAAGTGGCGGTAATTAAGGCTTCGTTTGATTTACACCTGGGGCACATGCGGCTGTAGCCCAGATAGCCTCTGACTTAGAAATGGGTTTGAATAGAAAATCTACAAAAGTGTGTTAGCTGTAACTGCCGGTGGTGGCAGAAGCTTGTTCAATAGTGAATGTTCAAGACAAAAACAACAAAAAGGATTTAGTGTAACCTTTTCACACGTAATTTAATTATTTTGGTAATCTCTTATTTTACAGATTTAATTTGCATCCTTTTGTGTTTTCATTTGGTTTTAACTCACGAGTAAAATGGTAAGGTGACTTGCAGTGAGACTGAAATGTCTACGTGGAGATACAGGACAAAACATATCAAGGGATAAGTATTTTGCAACAATCTGTGCCAAGGGTTTGTTCCTCACAAGTGTAATAAGAACTAAAAGTTTTTTATTTTTTATTTTATTTTATTTATATATTTATTTATTTATTTTTTTGAGACAGAGTCTCACTCTGTCGCCCAGGCTGGAGCGCAACCAATGGTGTGATCTTGGCCCATTGCAACCTCTGCCTTCCAGGTCCAAGCAGTTCTCCTGCCTCAGCCTCCCGAGTAGCTGGGAGGTACACACCAGGTAGTGTGCCACCATGCCCAGCTAATTTTTTTGTACTTTTTAAATAGAAACAGGGTTTCACCATGTTGGCCAGGCTGGTCTTGAACTCCTGACCTCAAGTGATCCACCCGCCTCAGCCTCCCAAAGTGCTGGGATTATGGGTATGAGCCACTGCGCCCAGCCAAGATTCCTTTTAAAATTAAAATGTACTGGAAGAGAAGTGTACCTTGCTCACCTTAAAATTATTTCCCTTAAGTTCATCTATTTTTGCACAACATTTGATATGAGGGAATTTTTAAAAATTACTGAACCTATTGTTACTCAATTTTGATTTGATATTCTCAGCAATATATGAGATTCCAGCTGACTTGCAGAAAGGTGAAAAGAAGGCAGCAGCACAGTTCAAACATTAGAACATTAGAACTTGCTTTTTTCTTTTCTTTTTTGTTTTTTTGAGACTGAGTCTCACTCTGTCATCCAGGCTGGAGGGCTGTGGTGTGATCTTGGCTCACTGCAACCTCCCCTCCTGGGTTCAAGCAATTCTCCTACCTCAGCCTCCCAAGTAGCTGGGACTACAGGTGTGCACCACCAAATGCAGCTGGTCTAGAACTTTCTGAGTAAAACAATTGCTTAAGATTTTAGAATCAATTTCCCTTATTCTTTTTCTCTCTGCAGTTAAAAAACAATGTCTAACCCACACAATGAGCTTTTGACTATATACCTCATTTCAAAAGGAATATGAGATCATTGAGTTAGACCCAGAGAAACTGAACTCAGAGAAAACTTCCATTATCGAGAACCCAAAAGCTGATGGCCAGACAAAAGGATGAGAGGAAATGCTGGACCTCCAGTTTGTTATTAATTGCTCTTTTTTGTTTTGTTTTGTTTTTATTGAAGTGGAGTCTCTCTCTTTCACCCAGGCTGGAGTGCAGTGGTGCAATGTTGGCTCACTGCAACCTCTGCTGTCCAGGTTCAAATGATTCTTGTGCCTCAGCCTCCTGAGCAACTAGGACTACAGGCGTGTGATACCACGCCCAGGTAGTTTTATTCTATTTTTGGTAGAGACGGGGTTTCGCCATGTTGGTCAGGCTGGTCTCAAACTCCTTACCTTAGGTGATCCACCTGCCTTGGCCTCCCGAAGTGCTGGGATTACAGGCATTAGTCACCGTGCCTGGCCAATTGCTCTGTTTTTCATAAGGGACTCTGCCTTAAGCTCATTTTCATTGACTTATCATTTCTGGGTTTGCTCTGGTGTGAAAATTCTCATTAATTTTTTTCTTCAGATTATCTCTAGTTCAGAAAAAATAAAATTAAAAAATATAATTTATAATTCATGTGACATAATTTTGATGGCATACTGTGGCCTGTCAGAGATTTTTTTAACATTCCTTTTTGTTTGTTTAGTTTTGGCTTTTGGTTTAAAGAGTTTGTTGAAACATGATTTGTATACTATAGAATTTATCTGTTTTAACATACAGTTAAAAGATTATTAGTAAATTTACTGAGTCATGCAACCATCACTACAGTCCAACTTTAGAACGTTTTCATCACTCCAAGAAGATGCCTCATGCCCATTAGCAGTCACTACACATTTCCGGCCCCAGCCCTATGCAAACATTAATCTACTTTCTGTCTCTATACGTTTGTGTATTCCAGATGTTTCATGTAAATGGAATTATACAGTATGGTAAACATTTTTTCATCTACTTATTTTTATATTCAACTAGGTTCAACATGTAGCCATAACCAAATATTTAAATTTTCTCTCTGGAAGCTTGAAAATATTTATTTTTCTTGATACTTACTTCTCCTTCTGATTTCTGTTTTCTATACCGAAACAGTCTTTTAAATGATTGCATTCATTGATTAATTCCTTATTTTTCTCTTCTAGAAGACTTTCTTTTTCACTCTCGAAACAGCAGCCTTGGATATTAATTACTATTTGTTCATTATCCCCTTTCTTATGAGCACCATCTAGTTGCTGTTCAAGCAACAGATTTTCATGTTGTAGTTGAGATATCCACTCCCCTAATAGTCTCGCTTTCCTTTATTTGATGCTGTGTTTGGCTTAGGTCCTTTGGCACACATTTTTTTTTGTTTTGTTTTCTTTTTGAGTTAAAAGATAACAATTAGTTACTGAACAACTTTCTAAAGCTGGAATTAAATTCAATACCCTAAAAAGTAAACTCTATGAGACAAGAAGTTCTCACAGATAATTTTGTATTGTTCAGACGGCCAAATTAAGTCATCAAGGCCATCCCTAAAATGTGTTCGCTTTTTGACCTTTTTCTTTTGATGCTTTCTTTGCAGGCCTGTCATACTTTCTCCTTCCTAGGAAATTGCTGGTGGTAAGTTTTCGCACCTTTGTTGCATTGATCCATCATCATCGTCAGCAGATGTACTATTATATAGGTTTTCTGATACTTCTTTTTTTTTGTTTTTGTTTTTACTTTTGTGCTTCTTCCTCCTTCAACCTGTAATTGTTTATTTTCACTTTTCTCAGGCCTTTCTTGTTCTTCCTCTGAAGTCACTTCTAAGTCTTGTTCTGCTCTAGATGTTTGTACATCCTTTCTTTTTACTGCATTCTTCACAACAGACTCTTCCATTTCAGTGGTAGGCTTCAAGGAAAGATGTTTTACAGGAGGCCCTTCTCCTTTTACCATATTTTTTCTTCTTTTTTATATGAAGGTTCACGTAAAGACTCTGAAGCAGTCTCAGGGTTATACTACTTGGTAGTAAAAGTCAAGTCTTCATTATCTAGTTTACGGCATGAATCAACACACAGTTCTTTGAAATACTTAATGCAGATTCGTCAGAACTCCCTGAATCTTCTATACTTGCTCCTCCTTTTTTCAAACTTGCATTCTTAGATGCTTCTGGATCGTCATTTTGAAGACCATTTTCAAGTATCTTTTTTTATGTTGCAAAATTTGTTGTTGAATGCTAGTCAAAGCACCAGAAAAGCATAATTGTTTGCTGTCTGTACATACATATTTTGAATAAAGACAGTAATATTTTGTTGAAGAATGCCGACTATACCTAACGAGCCATAATGTACAGCAGGCATGAGGACTGTTCCTCCCAACCTATCGACAACATGTACATTTGCTTGTTTCTTCACCAAAAATTCCAGCATTTGCTGTCTTTTGCAAACTGCAGCAAGTAAAAGTGGTGTGTTTCCATCATTGTTCAGCGCTTCAATATCCATATCACGGGAAAGTAGTTTTTCTACCAGGAATGTACTCTCATTATAGGACAGCATAGTGGAGAGCAGTGTTGCCGTAGATATCCACGTTCCAGCAGAATGATGCCACAAATCTCTTCCTGGCGATGTACAACCTTCTCAAAGGCGTCCCATTTTGTTTGTCACCAATGTCAATGTGGTATTTTCAGTTCACCAGGAGAGTCCCCACTTCCACATGGCCATTGGCACAGGCCAAATGTACAGCAGCCCTGTCCATCCACAGCTGAAGGGATAAAGAAACTGCCATACAGATACACACAGAATATGCTTCAGTCATAAAGCTTTAGGAAATCCTGTCATCCACAGCCACATGGAGAAACCCAGAGGACATTAGGTCCAAGAAAATGAGCCTGGTGGAGAAAGTCCCACACTGCATGATCTCAGGCATGTGGACTCCTAAAAGCTTTACCTACTGCCCGTCCACAGATGAAGGGATCAAGAAACTCTAATATATATTCACAAAGAAATAGTCTTTGGCCATCAAGATAATTAAAGGATGTCATCTGGAGGAACACAGACGGCCCGCCGAGGCTGCAGCTGCCTTGTCCTGCACTGTGGATGGAAGCCACTGTTCTGACAAGAGGCGGAGCTTAGGTGGTAATGCTTGCTACTGCTGTGCCACCAGGTTCCTGACAGGCCCGGGACGATACTGGTCCAGGGGTGGGGGACCCATGCTCCAGATGACAGCCAGAGTAGTCTTAAATGTAAGTTGGGTTGTTGGTTCCCTGCTTAGACCTTTCGCCATTTCCCATTTCCAGAATCTTTGGTGTGGCCTGCCTGGCCCTACTTAATCTGGCTTCTGCCCTCCCACTCTCCCTCCTTAGCCCCCATCATCTCATGCTACTCCCCCTCGCCCAGGACACTGCCCAGATATGTTCTTCTCCTTGGGCAAGAAGTACTGTGCCTGCAGGTCAAATCTGAAAGGGACATTTCTTTCCTTAATGAGTGTCAGGGATTGGGGATGCGACTGATGATATAAGGGCCCCTCCAATCAGACTTTCCAATCTAACCAAGAAGATAATAATTACAATGTTGATGCTAAAAAAGAAGGTTCTGGCAAAATAGAACTTCTGAAGCATCATAAATCAGATGACTAATATTTGTGAACCCTTTTCAAATTTTCACGTGAAGAAGAATAGGGGATGTAACTGAAGAAATGAACTAAAAGTTCTTTTCTGTATTGAGAACCTAAGTGTGGGATGCTGTGTTTGGCTCTGGAAACACGTGGCCTCCTGGTACTTAATAAACAATTTAGCATCACACATGACCTGTATTAAAAGAGACACTTCAGTGCTGAATAGTTTGGTGCTCAAAGGGCAGGAGAGCCAGTCAGTGCTTGGAGAGGCAGAGGGGAAACCCTACCTGATGGCCAGGGACGTTGGGACTGACTCAGTCCATGAACTGTGCTTGCCTGGGAGAAAGACAAGGAGTTGAGGAAGAGAGAGGAGATGGAGGCAATTCTAGGCCTGAGATGGGTGTGAGAATATCTGTGGATAATAAGAACAATTAAGCTAGAGTAGAAGGGTCATTTGTGGAGCAAAAGATTGTGGATTGTGTTGTACATGGAATTTCTTAGGCCACTGTGGCTCTTTAGTAGATAGTGAAATCAATATAGAGGATCTGTCCCCCATTAAAAATGTTTTGTTTTGTTTTGTTTTTTTGAGATGGAGTCTTGCTCTGTTGCCCAGGCTGGAGTACAGTGGAGTACAGATTCTTTTAAAAAATACAAGTTAAAGATTGTGACAGAAATATGAAAACTAGCCGGGCATGGTGGCTCATGCTTGTAATCCCAGCACTTTGGGAGCCTGAGGCGGGTGGATCATCTGGGGTCAGGAGTTTGAGACCAGCCTGGCCAATCTGGTCAAACCCTGTCTCTACTAAAAATACAAAAATTAGCTGGGCTTGGTGGCAGGCATCTGTAATCTCAGGTACTCAGGAGGCTGAGGCAGGAGAATCATTTGAACCTGGGAGGTGGAGTTTGCAGTGAGCCGAGGTTGCACCATTGCACTCCAGCCTGGGCGACAGAGCGAGACTGTCTCAAAAAAAAAAAAAAAAAAAAAAAAAAAAAAAAAAAAAAAAAAAAAAAATTATTAAACCTGTCTTAGTTTTGGTTCTTGGTTTAATCCAGTTCAAACTGGTCTAAGACAAACTAAAGGAATTCATAATAAGGACGTAAGAGTTTTGGTTTTGCTTTTGTTTTTTTCACAGACCCCAAGATTAGACATGCAGGCCAGGTCTCACATGTAAAGAATCAGAACACCTTTAGAAAGGCAAGCAGCGCCTCTCTGTTTCTTGCCTCTGCATCTCTCTGTGCTTTTGTTTCATTTTCTTTCAGGACCTTGTGCTGTGCATGAAGGTGGTATGCAATCAGAAGACGTCTGAGGAGACAAGTATGCGTCTCCCACCACAACATTATATGATGCTTGGAGTAAAAACAGTCATCCCTGTTCCTACCTACAATTGTATTATTCAATAAAGATTGCTGCCAGACATGGTGGCTCATACCTGTAGTCCCAGCACTTTGGGAGGCCGAGGCTGGGCAGATCGCTTGAGACCAGGATTTGAGACTAGCCTGGACAACATGGTGAGCCCCCATCTCTGCAGAAATAAAATAAAATAAAATTAGCCAGGTGTGGTGGCCTGTGCCTATAGCCTCAGCTACTTGGGAGGCTGAGGCAGGAGAATAGCTTGAGCTCTGGAGGTCCAGGCAACAGTGAGCCATGATGGCGGCACTGCACTCCAAATTGGGTGACAGAGTGAGACCCTGTCCAAAAAAAAAAAAAAGATTGCATTATTCAATCTTTTTTCCCATATACAATTTATATAGTTACATAATTACATTCTAGTATTTGCATATACTGAGAACTACGTATAATTTAGAATTATGCTGTTTTCACTTGTATATCACGTACATTTCCCTATATAGATATATAACATCTCTATTTGTCCTTTTCCACTTGACTGCTATGTTTCTCAGATTGATATACTGTGATCTCCTAAGCCAGTTACAGATTGATACGGATTTAAATTACTTCCTATTTTCTGTTTTATAAACAATAAACACTGTTATGATATAGTTTTCATTTTTGTTTGGTTTTTGATCATTTCCTGTGGAAGTATTCTCAAAGCTGAAATTGCTGAATTAGTGGGAATGAACATGGCTGTGTCTTTTTAAACGTTTTGTCAGCTTACTCTCAAAAAAGATTACACCAATAGGTATTGCCACTAGCAGTAGTTCAGAGTTTGTCTCACCATGATTACAAATTTTCCCAAATTGGTAGCTTATTCACACTGATTGGAACATATGAGTTGTTCAATATTTTAGAATATGTTTATGGGAAAGCCCTTGAATAGATTAAGCAAGAACATATAAATATGTAATAAATTCCATACTGGAATACATCAGTGATCCTTCTAGCTCTGCATCTGGAAACCGAGTTAAGCTCTTTTATGTTAAATTCACCCTGATAGAGTTTTGGAAAATACTTGCTTTTTACTTCTGAAAGTTTTTGCAAAGGATTAAGTTTTGTTTTTCTGAAAAGTTTTGTCTCAGATTTTCTGCCTAGACTTTGGACAAGGTGTTCTATTAATTGTCAAATGCAATAGAATTTAATCACATTTTCCTTTCTAGGTTACTTTATAAGGTGTTCCTACAGGTCATAAAAAAATGCCCACAAGGAGCCAAATTACTTTATTCATGGGTCTAATATTGCTTTATAGTATTGCTATATAGGTTTAGATAATTATGTTGTTTTACCTTCAGTAGTCATATTTTGGTTATAGGTAAAGTCATTCCTAGTTAAAATAGTATGCAAAGCAAACATTTGAAATCACCATTATTCAACATGTTTTGCTGTTACTTACAAGTAACAATTTACATTATTTTAATGTTGTAAATAGTTGTGGAATTTAGTCATTTTCTGTGTATTGAATTAATTACTGGCATTAAATAAGTATCTTCTCTCTTCAGTAGCTTAACTCATTTCCTGAATCTACCCATTTGATATCATGCTTTTGATTGGTAAAGTCACACATAAATATCTATTTTACTTTTTATAATATAATGTCATAAAAATAGGGAAGATTTTCTGACAGACATTAGCCAACTGGTGACATTTTTAGTAAGTGCCAAAAAGTAATATATGAATATATAAAACATCAAATGTTTAGCATAAACTTTATAAATAACGGAAATTATTAGTAGAAGAAATTACTCACATATTGTCTGCTAAAATAAAGATTAAAATTTGACTACATGAAAAAATATAATTTCTTTTGCTGATCAAATAAATTGATCATAATTCTTCCTTGTTTTGTTTTCTGTGTCTATGGAAGTCATAGTAAAGCCAAAAGATGTATACCTTGAATTATGTTGGTTTTTTTTTTCTTTATTACTCAGTTTACATACATTTTTGTCCTCTTTTGAACTTACTTTCTCCCGACTTGGGTATGTCATGGGCATAAATCAAACCACTCAGATCCAATTCTGGAGGTTGATGTTGGTTTTAAAGCAGGTCCTTGTGGCATCTGTTCCCTTTCCATTGCTAGTCAGTACAGAGCTCACCTAAAAGCTACCAACCAGATAAAAGCTTCTGATGAAAAGAATTTGACAACCCATTAGCTAGAAAACTAGTTCCTGAATAACTTAAAATCGACCGAAGCCTTCCCCCATATGTAACATTGTTCTGCCATTCCCTTCATTTTGCAGTCCTCCTCTGTATAGCCTTGGAAGACAGATCAGTGGGGTAGCAGTGAAAGACATCATGGTACCAAATAGAAACAAGGACTTGGAAGACACACTGGACCTCTTAATTTCCAGGCCACTTGACAGTAGATACAGTTCCTTACAAAAGAACATGGCTTGATATTGGGAAAAGAGGGTGCTGGAGATGAGGGAAGATGAATTAGCCACCAAGACAGTTCACCTTGCAATTCAATCATTTAGATCTAATTGAAGAATGATCGCTGCCATGTTCCAGAACAAGAATGAAAGCCGTATTCCACAATGAAATGGTGAATTCATATCTTCTGTGTTAGATTCTAGGAAAAAAGGAAGTAAAAGAAATACAGAAAGGTCCTTGATTCACACCTTTCATCCCTCCCCATCTGCGCTTTATTCTTCCTAACTATAAATCCCATGCTGAAATTCTACAGTACTCGATAAGCATATAATCATATTCAGGACTCTGCCAAGACAATATTATTCTTTTTTTTTTTTTTTCTTGAGACGGAGTTTCACTCTGTCACCCAGGCTGCAGTGCAGTGGTGTGATTTTGGCTCACTGCAACCTCTGCCTCCCAGGTTGAAGCAAGTCTCCTGCCTCAGCCTCCCGAGTAGGTGGGACTACAGGTGTGTGCCACCATGCCCGGTTAATTTTTGTATTTTTAATACAGACAGGATTTCACCATGTTAGCCAGGCTGGTCTCAAACTCCTGACCTCAGGCAATCCACCGGCCTCCCCTCCCAAAGTGCTGAGATTACAGGCATGAGTCACTGTGCCCGGCCAACAATATTCTTAAGTTTAAAGAACATATAATAGTTGGAAAAATTTATGAGCAGAAATATTTTAGAGGATATTTTGTTATATAGTATTTCTATAAATGTTCTCAAAATAAAATTTTGAATGACAATGCTTTCTGTATTTCCTCTTCTCTAGTTGGGCAGTTCTGTGAACATAAAACATCCCCTCCTGCTCTGATGTTTCGCTTTTTATATAGTTTGGATTAGTGTCCCCACCCAAATCTCATGTGGAATTGTAATCCCCAACCTTGGAGTTGGGGCCTGGTGCAGGTGATTGGATCATGGGGGTGGATTCTTCATGAAAGGTTTAGCACCACCCCTTTGGTGCTGTCTCCTGATAGTGTTCTCATGAGGTCTTCCTCCTGCTGCCACCATGTAAGACACACCAGCTTCCCCTCACTTTCCACCATGATTGTAAGTTGCCTGGGGCCTCCCCGGAAGAAGCCACTATGCTTCCTGTAAAGCCTGCATAACCATGAGCCGATTAAAACTCCTTTATTTGTAAATTACCCAGTTCCAGGTATTTCTTTATAGCAGTGTGAGAATGGATTAATAAAACTTTCCAGGAAGATCATTTCATTCCCCACTCTTTGCCTCTTTCCATCTGCCCTTTATTCTTTATTGATTCCCCTGGTCTCTGACCACCCACCTCAAGTTTTTACCGTATTTATTTTATAATCAATTGTTCCATGCGTTATCATGTTATAATATAAACACTTTTTATGATCATAGACATCATGACTAATAACTTCTGTTATAGTAATGAGGATATCTGAAAAACATATATTTAAAAAACAGATACACCATAGATATGACATCAATGGCTGGTGTAAGAAGAAGGTTCTAATTGGAAGCTGATACAGGAGATCAGTTTGTCTCAGAGCACTTAGTAACCTGAACCTCACCCAATACAAAGCACAAAGGTTGAAGAAGTGATAGCCCTTTTAGTGAACTACCAGGGATTAACCACTAAATTTTAGCACCATTGCGTATGGTATTTGTATATTGTATCTCTGAGTTCTGTGAGCCAAAGAAGAAAAGATTGATTTTTGGAGCAAGCATCTTTACCATGACTAGGCAAAATAAAAAAGAAATAGAAGTTAGAGTTGATAGATATCCACTATGAAAAACAACTTACATTTGGCTGGGCATGGTGGCTCACGCCTGTAATCCCAGCACTTTGGGAGGCTGAGGTGGGCAGATCAAGAGGTCAGGAGATCCAAGACCATCCTGGCCAACATGGTGAAGCCCCGTTTCTACTAAAATACAAAAAATTAGCCAGATGTGGTGGTGCACACCTGATGTCCCAGCTACTTAGGTGGGAGGCTGAGCCAGGGGAATCACTCGAACCTGGGCAGTAGAGGTTGCAGTGCACTGAGATTGCACCACTGCACTCCAGTCTGGGCGACAGAGCAAACTCCGTCTTAAAAAAAAGAAAAAAAAAAGAAAAGAAAAGAAAAGAAAATGAGGAACATGGGCAGGCTTTATTCTTAGCAGCAAAAGGCAACTGTGCCACCTCCAGGTGTTTTGTTTGAAATACACCTGCCACCTTTCTACCAGATTACTTCATTCCTTGCTCACAAAACGTGTCATGCACTCTACTGCTTAAAGAGTAGAGTTCAAACTCCTCAGCCTGACACTCGAGATTCTCTGAAATTCTTCCCTGACATACCTCTCCAAAGAAGCTTACTTTAAGGAAACTCATACTCTGGCTAAATGGTCTTTAAATTCTCAAGAAGCCACTGTGTCTTCCATCTACCTTCCCTCGCATCTACCTTCCCTCGCTGATGTGGTCTTTATTCTTCAAATCCCTCATTTCTTGTTTACTCCTGTAAGTACTACCTACGTTGTAAGGTCTAGTGCAAACCCTATATCCTCTAGGAAGACTTTTCATACCACCGTAGACCATACGGACTTCATTTCTTCAGAAGGCAGTAATTCTTTTGTTTGCTTGTTTGTTTTTGAGACTGAGTCTCGCTCTGTCGCCCAGGCTGGAGTGCGGAGGCGCGATCTCAGCTCACTGCAAGTTCCGCCTCCCGGGTTCACGCCATTCTCCTGCCTCAGCTTCCTGAGTAGCTGGGACTACAGGCGCCCACCGCCACTCCTGGCTAATTTTTATTTTTATTTTTATTTTTAGTAGAGATGGGGTTTCACCATGTTAGCCAGGATGGTCTTGATCTACTGAGCTCGTGATCCGCCTGCCTGGGCCTCCCAAAGGGCTGGGATTACAGGCGTGAGCCACCATGCCCGGCCCAGAAGGCAGTAATTCTTATTATCTCTAACACACGTCAGGCATATAACACTTAGCTATTTTGGCGGAAGTTACTGGGTTTTTTAAATGGAGTTATATACCTCTCAAGCAGAAACCTGTTAGTTCATACATTCTTAACATCCCCAACCACTCTCGGCCCTCTGCCTTGTATGTTACTAGGCTCAACAGCAGTTAGTAATGATGAGCACTCCTTAATTTGAAAGCGTTCACTGCATCTACCCCATCAATGGCTACTGATGAGCTTCTCCACTCCAGCTCCTATTAGCCAAGCCCTGGATGCCCCCAGCACACAGGTTTAGGGCTTCTGGCCCTGACACATAATAGGGAAAGGGGACTGCTTCAATACAGATGATTATTATTTATAAAGTCACTCACAATGTAAGTAATAATATGCGACATTTTAATTTGTGATGATTAAAGGCGCTAAAGTGGTGACTCTTTGGGTAGAATGTAAAAGTGAACTGCCCTTAACGGCCACAAGGCGCCCCTTCTAGGAGTGGTACCTCCCAGGATAACGGAAAACAGCCCCAGCCCTATCAGGAGCAAGCTTGGGGGCGGGCTTTAACCTCCCGGCCCACTGTTTGGCTAGCTGCAGGTGCTGGCCTCCAATGATTGGTTGCTGCCGCGAGGGCTGCCGGGACTAGCACTCGGCGGTTGTTCCAGAAGAAGAAGACAGCGATGGCGGCAGAGCCTTCGAAGACTGGGCCTTCCCGGTCTGTCTACCAGCGGATGGGGAGGAAGAGTCAGCACTGGGGTGCCGCTGAAATCCAGTGCACCAGGTGTGGAAGGAGGGTATCCAGAGCATCCGGTGAGGAACCCAAGGGCCCACCTAGCGGGGAGGCAGCCTGGAGGGAGGGCTGGGGGCCAGGTGAGCTGGTGGGCGCGTGAGGCTTGCTCAGCTGCATCCAATCCTGGTGTCCCGGAAACTGCGTCACAGGCCTCCTGCAGCTGCCCCAAAAGGGACGTGTTTGGGTTGGTTACGGCGGCACCTGGCACCTTTCACGGCTCTCTCCACTTCCCCATCCAGGCCTCATCGACCCTCCAGCCGGGAGGATGGGGACCTGGGTGGCTTTAATCTACCCCTCACACGGCAGGTTAGCGGGTTCATGCAAAAGTAGACGTAAGTTGTAGCCCGTTGTTTTGTAATGAAGAAGGAACGAAAGTTGATTTTCTTGTGTAGTTTTTGTTGTAGGAGTAACAAGTAAACCACTGTGAAATGGTTTTGGATTTTGTTGTTAGCGTTTTTTTTTGTTTCTGTGGTGTTTTGTTTGTTTTTTACATTATGGCTCACATTGGCCTAAAGCACTGTTTGGAAAATGATAAGTTTCTTTTGTGCACCTTGTGGTGTGTGTGTGTGTGTGTGTGTGTGTGTGTGTGTTGGTCTTTATACGTGAAGGGAAAAATACACTGCATTACTATTGGTCTGTTCATCTGTAATCTGCCCAAATGATCACAGGTTCAAGTTTTTTATTTCTTTATTAGTTTTTTTTTTTCTTTGAGATGGAGTCTTGCTCTGTCACCCAGGCTGGAGTGCAGTGGCGCGATCTCTGCTCACTGAAAGCTGCACCTCCCGGGTTCACGCCATTCTCCTGCCCTCAGCCTCCCGAATAGCTGGGAGTGCAGGCTCCCGCCACCACGCCCAGCTAATTTTTTGTATATTTAGTAGAGACAGGGTTTCACCGTGTTAGCCAGGATGGTCTCGATTTCCTGACCTGGTGATCCGCCAATCTTGGCCTCCCGAAGTGCTGGGATTACAGGCGTGAGCCACCGCGCCCAGCTGATTCAAGTTATTTTAATGTAACTTAAAATACCTGGAGCTACTGAAAATTCATATTACCTGGTGTAATTGTTTATACTTTAAAAGTTAGGGTCATTCGATCAGTTTTCTCATTCTTGTCAAGATGGACTCTGAGATGTGAGCCTCTGCAGAAAAAGTTGTGATTTCGGTGGAGAACCAAGTTTCTCCTACTTGGGGTTTGATCACTGCTACCGTTACGTAGAAAATCTCCATTTTTGAATGAAATTAGAATTATGGAATAAAGTTGTAGAACACAACCTTTTAAAATGAGTACTTCTTTCATACATTAGTATTATGCTTAGAAAAACTAAGTTGGAGAAGTAGTGGTTAGGTGTATAGAATCCTGAAAGTGCTTTTTAAGGTGTAATATACCACAAGTTATTTTGAGTTATTTAGTATCAGAAATTTTATAGTAACAGATAAGTGTTTTTAATTTCTTTGGCGATGTTATCTCTGGAAGTTAAATAGGGCTTTAAAATTTACCATGGTTGTAAGCAAGTTTCAGGTATTTCAGTTGGCTGGGAAACTTGTAAAGTTTTTTAAAAAATAAAATAAATGCAAGGCCGGGCATAGTGGCTCACGCCTGTAGTTCCAGCACTTTGGGAGGCCTAGGTGGGTGGATCACTTGAGGTCAGGAGATCAAGACCAGCCTGGGTAACATGGGGAAACCCCATCTTTACTAAAAATAAAAAAAAAAATTAGCCAGGCATGCTGGCGCACACCTGTAATCTCAGCTACTCCGGAGGCCGAGGCAGGAGAATCGCGTGAACTCAGGAGGCGGAATTGACATTGAACCGAGATCGTGGTCCATCTCAGAATGAATGAATGAATAAATAAATAAAATTAATGCAATTATTATAATTCAGCAAGAACTCTGTAATTATTTTGCTAGTAAAAGATGACTGATTTTTATCTAGCTTTTTTCCCTTTTTGTTTTCTTGCAAAACTTAAAAAATGACAGCCTTTTGAAATTATGTAGCTAAAACAAATGTTGTTTATTATAAACTTCAAATTCTTAGAGCATTTAATCATGATATTAGGTTTTCAATCAAGTTATGATATTTCCTTTCATAAATGCTAAGTTTGTGAGCTGTGGGTGTGTGATAATAGTAGCATCTGGCTTCTGGCCTTTCCAATGTCTTAAGTAATTCTAAGAGCACGGTCTTGCCAGTGTCTCATTTTGGCCACCGTTTTGGCCCTTCTTGACCTCTTCACAGGATGGGAAATATAAAGTAGTAGATGGCAGTATGGTCAGTCAGGTAGAATGTTACACTTGGAAACAGAACTAGATTGGAGTCTGGATTATACCATTTAGTTAACCAAATCTCCAAAATGCTATTTCATCTCTAGCCCATTTAACTGTAATATTTACAAATAACAAAATAAAATGTGTCAGAGCACTTTGTATAATTATAAGATATGGCAGATTCAAAGTATTCTAGGTACAAAATAGCTATCTGAATTAATGCAGTTGCTATTACATAGCTCTTCTTGGTTTTTCTTCTTGATTTTTCTTCCTTCTGACCTGAATAGTTGGTTACTCCTGATTTATATTCAATAAGTCAACCATTTCAAACTCTAGTAGGTATCTTTTCCTGTACAGTAGGATCCTCTTTGAATTTCCCTTTGATCAGTATTGCCCATTCAACATTAACACACCGTGGGCAGTTTAATCACAATAGAATTTCATCAGTAAAATTAGCCGGGTGTATTGGAACACACCTGTAGTCCCAGCTACTTGGGAAGCTGAAGTAGGAGGATCCCTTGAGCCCCAGAGGTGGAGGCCACAGTGAGCTGGTGCCACTGCACTCCAGCCTGGGCAACAGAGCAAGACCCTATTGCAATAATAATAGTCATCAAAATAATAATTAAGAATTTCATGAATAGGTCACCACTGTGAACTTCAATGTGGACATGCTTTTTGTGAACTATGCTTGTTAATGACTGAAGAATGCACCACAATTGTATGCCCTGATTGTGAGGTAAGTTTTATAATTTTTCAGATGAAACATATCACAACCTAATGTTAATGGTAAAAATACTACAGTAGTAAAACATGCTGGTAGTTAGAAATTAAAAACTTGGCTGGGCATGGTGGCTGACGCCTGTAACCCCAGCACTTTTGGAGAGAGAGGCGGGCAGATCAAGAGATCAAGAGATTGAGACCATCCTGGCCAACATGGGGAAACCCGTCTCTACTAAAAATACAAAAATTAGCTGGGCCTGGTGGCGCACACCTGTAGTCCCAGCTTCTTGGTAGCCTGAAGCAGGAGAATTGTTTGAACCTGGGAGTTGGAGGCTGCAGTGAGCCAGGATTGCACCACTGCGCTCCAGTCTGGCGACAGAGCAAGACTCCGTCTCAAAAAAAAAACAAAACAAAAAACTAAAAATTTGCATTTTGCTGCTGAATCTTTAAGCAAACCTAACAAAAGATGAAACTTTTTCTATCCATTTTATAATTGTTTAAAGTGACCAGGAAAAATACAAGGCTAGAGTCATGCACTTATTGGCCTACATATTTTGATTCTTTGGTGACTTCTGTGGAAAATTATGTCTTTTGTTTATTTTAATGGTGTATATTCCTTTAAAAACCCTAGACCCTGTTTTGCCCACCAATCCATGCAGCAAATTTTGAACTCTGCCTGCCGGTCAACCTTTGTATGTCATCAAATATACATTTGTGGAGATGCCATTCTATAACAAGGTAGAGAAGCAAAACTACTGCCTAAAATTTTTACTTCAGAAGCACTAAAAACCAATTCCATTAAGACTGAAATCTGTCCATAAGAATGAGATCAAATTAAGGATATAAAATACAATTTACTTGATATCCTATTCATTTAATACACTTGTAAGTGTAGTTCAGTTTATATAGTATGTTCCTGCAAAGTTGACTCAAGCTGTTAATTCTTTTTTTTTTGTTTTGAGTCGGAGTCTCACTGTCCTCCAGGCTGGAGTGCAGTGACCCAACCTTGGCTCACTGCAACCTCCACCTCCCAGGTTCAAGTGATTCTCCTGCCTCAGCCTCCCGAGTAGCTGGGACTACAGGTGTGTGCCACCACGCCTGGCTAATTTTTAGTATTTTAGTAGAGAGGGGGTTTCACCGTATTAGCCAGGATGGTCTCGATCTCCTGACCTCGTGATCAGCCCACCTTGGCCTCCCAAAGTGCTGGGATTACAGGCATGAGCCACCGCGCCAGGCCAAGCTGTAAATTCTTAATGTTTTACTGGATAAATCAGATGATAAGGCTTTGTATCATTTGTTTTCTGTGGAAGTGTGGCAGACCCTATGGAGGCACAAGACCTAGAATGCAGTTCTCATTCTGTCAGTCTAGGCTGGGTTTCCTCATTTGTGAGATGGATATAATACCTGCTCTGTCTTATCTCCTAGGATTGCTAAGAATCAAATCTGAATTATGTAAAAGTTCTCTCTAAGCTTCCAGACTACTAAAATAACCCTTCATTGTTTAGGTTTGAATGAACTGGCTTGCAGCTTAAATATGGTTTTAAAAAACCCAAACCATATATTGTCATTAATGAAAGTTTAAATTGTAACCAAAAATTACATATTAGAAGCTGCCTATTTTGTGGGAAATTCTTAACCTCTTCCCTTTTTTTTTTTTTTTTTGACGTGGGGCTCCTTAAACATGGCTGGCTATGTGGTTAAGACGAAGTGGACCCTCCTCCTGTGGTTGTGATGGTAGATCCCTGATGGATTCAGTCTTGTGGGTGAAGAGTAAGTGAAGGGAAAGGAAAGGAGGAGGCAGCTGGAACTGTCTGTGTCCATATCCGTCCTGTTCTAATATTTAAAAAAAAAAAAGACTTGGCAAATGATTTCACATTTAATATTCTTAAATCATTATACTTGTATTATTTTTGGGATTTTGGATAATGTGTGGGAGTGTTAATAGTGTGTTTACAAATACTAATTTTGATTTTAAAGTTGTGATAAATCTATTTTGTATCATTGACTAGTTTTGTTCTAAGAACCTTTTACTTTTAGAGATAAGTGACCTGTCCCATCTTCCATTCTTATTCCCTCATCCCCTCACCCACCTACTGTTAGCCCAGGTAATTGACAAGTGACTATATTCGCATTCTTCAGACACACTGGTGAGCTGAGCCCTATTAAAAGAAGTCATTCAAGAAACCTTCCTGAAATTGTTACCACTCTTTTTAAACTTTAGATTTGTATTATTACCTAATATTTATTTGGAATAAGATATTCAGAGAATGGAAGAATCTAGTTTAAATTTAGTGAAGTCTGAATTTATGGAATATTTGAGGAATGTAGTTTATTACATTTGAATGAGGTAACTTCCCCAAAAAAGTAAGATTTAGGTTCCTGTATTCACGTTAGACTTATAATTCATCTTTAACTTTGAACGCCTAGGTAATGCTGTTTATTTCAAACGTAAGCCTAAAATCCATTCAAGATTAATAGGTATCCTTTTGTTCTTATTTCTGAGTTTGGGCGAATGTCCTTTTATTTGACAGTCTTTATTTTTGATAGTTGAATGGTTTTTGATAACATCCCTTCTCTGCTATTGATTGATGTTAATGGTTAATCTTTTTATAATTTTGCACAGCAAAATGACAGATTTTATTCAAGGGTAGGATTATACCTAGGTGCTGTTTTAGAAATACTGGCATTTTATTAACTTTTGGACCTGAGTCTAAAATACATTGGGCCATGAAGAAAGGATAAATCATCCAATCAATAGATAATTAACATATGCTAAAATCCCATGATTGGAAATATTAATAATATAAAAATTAGAAATATAAACTAGAAAGAAATACAGATAATTGTATAATCTTGGATAGGAAAGCATTGCTAAGCATATCAAATAGAAATCAGAAACTAGAATAAATGCTTGTTAAATGTGACCACAGTTTTTCATTTACAAGCAACAAAAGCAGGCAAAATACCATCATAAATAAAATTTAAATGACAAGCTGTAGGGGCAAAAGAAAACCTTTATTATATATGTTACAAGTTAAGAGTCTTTCTGCAGTTTTTACTGAAAATCTTTTAAATCAGTGTATTCAATACTTCCCTAAACTATCTGGAAGAAATGTCCTGCATCAAATCTGCTGATGATAGCATTAACCTTTTATTATGAAATGCTAAGCCAAAGTGTAATGAACTAGGAGGTATATAGAAATTAAGTTTTTAAACCCCAATTTTTTTGGGAAAAGGGACTTAAAATACCATTCAGTTCAGTGAGATTTGTTAAAAGTAACCAAATTAATAATACATGGCCACAAGTCGATGGTTTTAAGTACATGATACTTGAAACCTTGAAAGAACATCCTCTTCCCCACCAAAGATGTATATTTCACAAAAATGGGAGACTATAACAATTGGTAGTCTACTTTGTTTCTTTTAGCAACATTCATCTATTCTCATGAAAATAAGCACTATAATTTTCTTAACTAATCTCTTTATTGATAAACATTTAGTTTAAAAAAATTTTCACTATAATTGTGTACAATTCCTCAGCCTCACCTCCATCAGTAGATTCTATAATTTCTAACTCCAAAATAAATTCATATTTTGGGCTTGTTATATTTGTTTTAGTGTTTTGGCAATTTGATGTGAAAAAAATGGCTGTTTCCTTGTTGTAAATTGTAATTCCCTCATGACCAATGAAGTTGAGCAACTTTTTGTATGTTTGACTTATCAGTGCCTTTTCTGTGTGGATCTTTAACAGATCTTTTCAGATCCTTTGGATCTTTTCCTTTTGAATTGTCTTTTTCCTGACTTGTTTGTTGTTTGCTTTTTCTGGAGAAAGGGTCTTGCTCTGTCGCCCAGACTGGAGTGCAGTGATGTGATCACAGCTCACTGCAACCTCAACCTCTCCAGCTGAAGCAGTCCTCCGACCTCAACCAGCCCAGTAGTAGCTGGGACTACGGGGGAGTACCACTGCACCCAGATAATTTTTTTTTTTTTTTGGAAGAGGTGGATCCTTGCTATGTTGCCTAGGCTGGTCCCGCTTCAGCCTCCCAAAGTGCTGAGATTACAGGTATTAACCACTGTATCCAGCCTGTCTTTTTCCTAAGTTGTGAGAGTACTTTATGTGATAGCAATATTAACATTTCATCCTGTGTAACGATTTTCTCCCAGCCTCTCACTTTTGATTTTGTTGCATTTAGCCATTCAGAAATGTTTCTTAACTAGTCATTTTTACCCCTGCTTCATGAATTCTTGGTGGGTTTTCTTTTTTTGTTTTGTTTTGTTTTTTTTTTCTGACTAGGCAGACCTTCCTAACTCAAAGTTACATATATATCTTCAATACTTATGTTTTTTTAAAAAAGTGTGTGTTGGCCAAGCTCATGCCTGTAATCCCAGCACTTCGGGAGGCTGAGGTGGGTGGATCACATGAGGTCAAGAGTCGAGAACAGCCTGACATGGAGAAACCCCATCTCTACTAAAAATACCAAATTAGCCAGACATGGTCGTGCATGCCTGTAATCCCAGATACTTGGGAGGCTGAGGCAGGAGAATCGCTTGAACCCAGGAGGCGGAGGTTGCAGTGAGCCGAGATCACACTATTGCACTCCAGCCTGGGCAACAAGAGCGAAACTTCATCTGAAGAAAAAAAAAAGGGAGGGAGATATATGTTTAATTATTTTATATTTTATGTGATGTAAGGTGCGGGTATACCTTTATTCTTCAGAATGATTGGCTGATTTTGTCATACCTTTTATTGAGTAATCCTTCCATTTAATTGAAATCCCACTTGTATTCTATATTAAGTTCTCATAGAGAGTTGGGTCTGTTTCAAGGCTTTGTTCTACTGATTTATTGTGCTAGCATCCAGTGTTTTAATTATTACAGTAGCATTATAATAGTCTTAGTAATTGGTGGAATAAATTTATGCTGAATTATATGTTAAAGCTTTTGCAGTTTTTGTACAATATATTTTTCCATATGTATTTTAGAATTGTATTAATTTCATATTAGATGATTCAGTCTTTGTCTCCAGGAACCTGGTATGATTCTCCATTTTTTTTGTTCTTGTTTTATGACCTCTAGCCAGGTGCGGTTTTTTTTTTTTAAGGTTTTCTTTACTTAGAGCTTATAGTTTTCTTGTTAAATTTTCCTAAATAACAGGAAAAGAAACAGATAACCCCATTAAAAAGTGGGCTAAAGGACATGAACAGACACTTCTTAAAAGACATACAAGCAGACAACAAATATGAAAAAATGCTCACATCACTTATCAGAGAAATGCAAATCAAAACCACAATGAGATACCATCTCACAGCAGAATGGCTATTATTAAAAAGTCGAAAACTAACAGATGTTGTCAAGGTTGTGGAGAAAAGAGAATGCTTATAGACTGTTGATGGGAATGCAAATCAGCCCCTGTGGAAAGCAGTTTGGAGATTTCTCAAAGAATTAATAGAACAATCATTTGACTCAGCCCTTCTATTACTGGGTATATACACAAAGGAAAATAAATTATTCTACCAAAAAGATACCTGTACTCATATGGTTATCACAGTATCATTCACAATAGCAAATACTTGGAATCAGCCTACGTGTCCCATCGTTGGTGGGTTGAATAAAGAAAATGTTGTACATATACACCACAGAATACTATGCAGCCATTAAAAATAATGAAATAATGTCGTTTACAGCAACATGAATGCAGCTGAAGGCCATTATCCTAAGCAAATTAATGCAGAAACAGAAAATCAAGTACCACATTTTCACTTACAAGTGGGAGCTAAACATTGGCCATACATGGACATAAACATGGAAACAATAGACACTGGGGACTGCTAGAGAGAGGGAGGCAAGGGCAGAAAAACTTTCTGTTGGGTTCTGTGCTCACTGTTTGGGTCATGGGATCAACAGAAGCCCAGACCTTAGCATCATGCCCTACACCCTTGCCACAAACCTGTACACGTACCCCCTGAATCTAAAATTTTAAAGAAAGAAAAAGATGGTTTAACATCGTGGCTTATCCTTTAATTTATTGAGTGAAGATAAAGGACATACTTCAGCTTTACTTAATTTCCTTTCCTTTCTTTCTTGTATTGTATTGTGAGGTTTCAATGAGATAGTTTGCCCAGTATATAGGACTTAGGCACCCGAAGAATGACGTTGCTTTTCCTTCTGCCTACTTCATTTTTCTTTCAGGTATCAGTTCATGATCTTGAGTGGCTTTTAAAATATGTGGAAAAAATCAGAGACCACAGGACCTCAAATAAATGAACATAACAAAACTGTTCTCAGAAAAAAGTCAGCCATGAACTATCCAATTTTCTTCCATTTCTAACTGCATTTTACTTGAACACTGTCTCAAGCAGGGAATTTTCTTCATCTAGTGTCTGTGGGCCACAGTGGACTTTAGGAATTCTATTGAACCACATGATTAAAAAAGTTTTAAATTGGCCGGGCACTCAAGCCTGTAATCCCAGCACTTTGGGAGGCTGAGACGGGCGAATCACGAAGTCAGGAGATCAAGACTATCCTGGCTAACACGGTGAAACCCCGTCTCTACTAAAAATACAAAAAAATTAGCCAGGCATAGTGGCGGGTGCTTGTAGTCCCAGCTACTCGGGAGGCTGAGGCAGGAGAATGGCATGAACCTGGGAGGCGGAGCTTGCAGTGAGCCGAGATCATGCCACTGCACTCCAGCCTGGGTGACAGAGCGAGACTCCGTCTCAAAAAAAAAGAAAAAAAAAGTTTTAAATTAAATATTTTAGAGTTTTGAACATATATTACTAATTTTTATTCCTTTTTTTTGAAGTAGGGTCTAGCTCTTTCACCCAGGCTGGAGTGCAGTGGTGCAATCTTAGCTCACTGCAACCTCCGCACCCTGCCCCTCCAAGTTCAAGTGATTCTCCTGCCTCAGTCTCCCGAGTAGCTGGGATTACAGGCACCCGCCACCATGCCTGGTTAATTTTTGTATTTTTTGTGGAGAGGGGGTTTTGCCATGTTGGCCAGGGTGGTGTTGAACTCCTGATCTCAGGTGATCCACCCGCCTCAGCCTCCCAAAGTCCCAGGATTACAGGGCATGAGCCCTCATGCCTGGCCTAAAATTTTTAAAGTAAAATTGAAAGTATAGCTAGTATTTGCTTTAGAGTTATGGTAGAATGAAGTGTTTTGGTCAATTAACTAAAAATTAATTAATAATTGATTATTAATAATTAATTGACCAAGCTTAGTTAACTAATTCCTGATTGCTTCCAAAAATTAAAATGGGTCAAAACCTCATAAAAGCACAGTTTTCTCCTAAATTTACAGGGGATTTCAGGATCTTAAAGTTATCATTAACTTTATGAACAGCACACTTAAATAGTTATTTAGGTTCTGGATAAACAGAATTTATTGGATGACTTTCTTTGTTTTTTTTTAAACCCTTATTTTGTCCTAAGGTTGCTACAGCTGTAAATACTAGACAAGGCTGCTATGCAATGGCTGGATATGTTAAAGAAGACTCCATAATGGAAAAACGGCAGCCTAAGACGTATGTTCCATGTGTACTTATTTGAGTATTTAAAGTAAATGTGTTACTGAAATAGTTTTGGAATTATTGATAAAATGTCATTCTTAAATCTGCATTTCTAACCTACTGTTTATGGAATGCTCTTTAAGTTCATACTTCATCTTAGCTGTCAGTGGAATGGAGACTCCAGCTCTTTAAAGAAGAAGCATTTGTTTGTCCTTATTTAAAGAAAGAAAGAATGTTAATGATTACCACATCAAGAAAGGCTGAGAGTGTACTGGCTAAAGTTACTTGTGCTGGATGAAAGGAAGTTATAGAGAAAAAAAAAGTAACTTAGTTCTCTCTTGATTCTTTTTAAAAATTTTTAGAATTCTAAGTTTTTTTAGAGACAGGGTCTCACTTTGTCACCCAGGCTGGAGTGCAGTGGTTTTGACCATGGCTCACTGCAGCCTCAGACTCCTGGGCTCAGGCTAGCCTCTCACCTCAGCCTCTGGAGTATCTAGGACTGCAGGCATGCACCACCATGCACAGCCAGTTTTTAAATTTTTTTGTAGATGTGGAGTCTCATTGTGTTGCCCAACCTGGTCTCAAACTCCTGGCTTTAAGGGATCCTTCTGCCTCAGCCTCTCAAAGTGCTGGGATTACAGCCGTGAGCCACTGCACCCAGCTTGTCTTGATTCTTGAAAGTAGTGCAAGTATAGTACAATGGAAGGCTTTGTGAAGGGTTGGTTTGAGAAGTGATTTATAAAAGGAAAAATAATACCTTTGGGGTTCTTTCATTCATTTTCCCATTCTTGTATAAACCTTTACATATGTATGCATTAATAGATTCTCTTTTTGAATTAGTAACTTTTAAAAAATACACCCAGCTAGAGATGAGTACCTATGTTACTGATTATTTCACCTAATTATTAATGCTTCTGTATGTCTTTCCCTGCTAGTCTGTAAGCCCCTTTAAAAGAATGGACCACATTTTATTCCTCTTTATATCTCTGGTTTGGGACACAGAGTAAATATGTAATGTTTATTACAGTACATGTTTGATTTTTGCAGCTTTTTAAGTGTTAAAGGATCTTCAGATCAATTTCCTGGAACTGTACTCCGATGGTAATTTGTATATAACTTAACTTTTTAAAGCATATTTAATGTGGTAAGTAGACAATGCAAGAAATAAAAAATAGGATTCTTTCAAGGAAGAATCTCATGTGGAACTTTCCAATTTTGTTAGTGGCACCAAGTATTTATAGATTAGCCCAGTTCCTTCTATTGCATTCGTTTTACTTCCTGCAGATTCTGACTTCCATAGTATCTCCTGTATCCATAACCTATCTTCATTTCTGCTGCCTTATTTAATTCTCATGTTCTTTTGTGTAGCTCCTTGTCAGACTTTTCCTTAACACTATAGTTGTTCTTAAGTATTCAATTAAAGTTCAAAATTATTCAGTCTAGAATCCCTGGCACTTCCCATTACCACTGTAGCTTCTCTTTCCAGACTTAAATGAGTACTTAGAAAAAAACAAAAGAATTGTTGTAGCCATTTTCTTGGGTGGTAAAACCACTTAGCTAAAGTCTGACAGCTGGTCATTCACAGAACCAGAATGTAAACCTAGGTTTATTGAATACCGGTACTGCTCCCAACTCCTATACCACTGGTCACTTCCTCCATGAAATCTGTGTAGAGTTATTAGAATAAATTTTGTAGAATCGTTCTGGCTCATCATATGAGTCCCCATGGAGTAGCCATTTTATCAAATTTAGGGTTCCCAAATTTGAACACCTACACGAATTAAGCAGATAACTTTTATTGGGTGAGGTCGACTGAGTTTAAACAATGAGTGGTGAGGATTGCGGTAGATGACGAGGGCTCACCCCCTCCAAAGGAGGCAGTTCCTAGTCAGCTGTAGCCAATTATTATTATGTGTTAAGACCAACCCAATGTTGCCACATCTTTTTTTTCTCAAGACAAACCCGAGATCTGCACTTCTGTGTGAAATTTTCTGACACATGATGCGAGTCAAACCAGGTTGTACTCTTATCTAGATATGTATAATGTCTGTTAGAGTTGCAAAGTGAAATTTTACTTTCAGAGGTATGTGAATCCATCTTAACCAGAAAGTACCCAAATTTGTTCCAAATAACCATTTAAAAAATTAAATTTATGTCAATTATACCTATTTTAGAAACTGTTATTCTCTAAGGTACAGTTTGGTTTTAAATGGTTGTATATTTTTGAATTATAGTAATCCTTTACTCATTTCTTTACTGATTTGTTTTTAGTATTTTGAAACAGAAATTCAATAATGGAATCCTTAGGGCTAATGCACTCATGTTTTTAAGAACATGAATATTCACTTTTCAGAGAATAGAATGTTTAAAAATTATATGGTGTAGTATTTTTTGTCTGTAAGAATAACATTTAAACATCATAGTTTCTTCCATAAGCTATAAGCTGATGATTAACTCGGCAAACACTAGTTACTGTGTGCTAGCCAATATGGTGATGTAAAGATAAAAATAGCTGGACATGATGGCTCATGCATTTAATTGCAGCACTCTGAGAGGCTGAGGTGGGAGGATCACTTGAGTCCAGGAGTTCGAGACCAGCCTGGCCAATACAGTGAAACCCCATCTCTAAAATAGATAAATTAATAAATAAAACTCTGGCTTCTACAGACTAGAGAATGCACCAAACTTTTTCTTTGCGATTAACTTGCTTAGTTAAATTCATTACCTTTTTTTAATTCTCCAGACTTGTTAAGTACCTTCTTTTTAATAGCTGGCATTTGAATGTATAAACACTTACTTTAATTGATAAGCTTATCACATTTCAGTGATTATCAACGTTTGTACCAAAAAATACCATGAAAGGACCAGTAATTAAGAAATTGAAATGCAATATATACTTTAAGCCATTATTTTTGGAATTAATTCACTAGACATGTTCTTATATATCATATGAGTTATTTTTCATGGTAAAAATTGAATAGAAGATTAAAACCATTACATTCATGTTGGTATTTAAAATAATGTACTTGGGCCAGGCACAGTGGCTCACGCCTGTAATCCCAGCACTTTGGGAGGCCAAAGCGGTTGGATCGCTTGAGCTTAGGATTTTGAGACCAGCCTGGGCAACATTTTGAAATCTCATCTCTACAAAAAATATAGAACTTAGCTGAGTGTGGTGGCACATGCCTGTGATCCCAGCTACTTGGGAGGCTGAGGTGGGATGATCGCTGGAGCCTGGAAAGTCGAGGCTGCCATGAGCCATGATGGTGCCACTGCCCTCCAGCCAGGGTGACAGAGAAAGATCCTGTCTCAAAAAATGAAATAATATACTTGATACTTTTCAGGATAAAGAATTGTTCTCAGGACTTTAAGAAGACTGCTGATCAGCTAACTACTGGTTTAGAACGTTCAGCCTCCACACACAGGACTGTTTTGAACTCATCATCTGTAATGTTGGTATGAAAAATGTTGGTCATGAAGTATGATGAAGGCAAACATTTGACTTTGTCTCTAGTAGCTCAACTTTCTTCTCCTATAATTATAGATTCTTTTGGAAGTTTATAGGTAACAGAAGTAAACCCACCCTCCTACTTGAATCTCTTTTGTTCCATGCTTAGACAGTTCTCTTTTCTTCCAAGGCAGCCATTTCTACCTTTGACTGACTCTGTTTCAACGTTCTTGATATTTACTGTGTGTAGCTTCTTCTCTTTGAAACTAGTTATTGATTCCAGGTTCTGTGAAACATGTAGAGCACAAGTTTTTAAATTTTAAATGTGATTTTTCACTTATTTTAGTGGCAACCAAAAGGCCTAATTACATTTGTTGTTGTTAATGTTATTGCCGAAGATTGAATTTTACCTTTTATCTACTCCTAATAACTTTAATGTATTAAGATTAGAAATAGAACAAACTCCAAAATGATGTTGAGTGAAGTATTAAGTTTTTGTGTTAAGATCATTAATGGAGGCCAAGCGCAGAGGCTCATGCCTGTAATCCCAGCACTTTGGGAGACCAAGACAGGCAGATCACTTGAGGCCAGTAATTCAAGACCAACCTGGCCAACATGGCGAAACCCCATCTCAACTAAAAGTACAAAAATTAGCTGGATGTGGTGATGTGGTGGAACACACCTGTAATTCCAGTTACTTGCAAGGCTGAGGCATGAGAATCGCTTGAACCTGGGAGGCAGAAGTTGCAGTAAGTCGAGATAGCACCACTGCACTCCAGCCTGTGCGACAGTGAGACTCTGTCTCAAAAAATAATAATAATAATAATAATCATTAATGGGCTGGGGAAGGGGAGAAAGCACTTTAATCTTGCTAACTTTTCTTTCAAGTATAAATCTTAATGGAGTCAAATTATAATATTTTTTCCTTAACTATAATTTTTATATGTATACATGTATTGCTATGATAAATTGTTAAAGGTAGTTTTAAGTTAAAAAGATGATTACAAGGCATTATCCCATTAAAAAAAATCTTTAGGAAAAAAATCTGGAATGGTCTAACTAAAGCTCTAAAATATGAATGGTTTTTATCTCCAGGTTAGCAGGATTGAATATCATTTTTGTTGCTTGTTTTCACTTTTCTGTAGTGAGTCTATGTTGCTTTTGTAACCAAAATGGTAGCCTGATTTTTTTGCAACTGTTATATATATACATATATATAGGCATCTGTTTTTTAGTTTTATATTTGTATATGATTCCCCTCCTTTCTTAGGACACTAACACTGCAGAAGAAATTGATGAAGCGTTGACTACAGCACATCATAATTTTGAACAATTAAGCATTGCTGGAAAAGTAAGCACTTTGCAGGATTCAATTCTATCATGAAGTGAAGCATGTCCTCTTTAAGTGTGTACATTTGGATATGTTACCACTGAGGTTAGAGCTTAGCACTGAGTTATTAAGCATGATAATTTAAAAAAGAATGGAAAACTTTTCCCATGGCCTGCCAAAATTGGTCTTGCAACATTGTTGTGCTAGGAACTTAATAAAATTCAAGCTTTAATAAGGAACTATGACTTCTACTTGCTGTGAGCTGAATTTTGTCTCAGAAGCATTGCAGATTATCTTTTCAACATTTGCTCGTTGTTTGGCTATATCCCTCTTTTGTGAGAAAGTCTCTTTCTCTCTTCCTACTCCACCTTCCAAAAGAGACTCTCTCATTTGGTGACACAAAACAAGTTCTTCAGCACCTAGCAACAAAATTTACAATTAAGGAGTTTAAAAGGTCATAGCTGATTATGTTGTGGCTGCTTTTTTGCATAGAAGGACAAGACATTTTCGATTGGCTAAGAGTCACTATCAAAAGTCGTTTCTCAAGAGGAATGAGATATACGATAAAAGTATTAAGATAGAAGAGTTGTGAGACAAAAAAACAACATTGAGAGAAAAGGGGAAAAAATAATGTCACCTGTGTAAGCAATAATTAGTACCAGATATAGTGGAGAAGAGCAAATCAGTGGTAAATTAACTGGAGGTTAGGACTTCAGTATCTGAATTTGGGAGAGTGGGGACACAATCCAACTGAAAACAGAGTATTCTCTAGCCCTTAGTATTCATGTCCTTCTCAATGCAAGATACATTCACCCCATCCTGACATCCCCAAAAGTTTCACCCATTCTAGCATCAATTGTAAGTATAAAAATCTCACCTGGGCCGGCTCACTTGGTCACGCCTGTGATCCCAGCACTTTGGAAGCCAAGGCAGGAGTTCAAAACCAGCCTGGTCAACATGGCCAAACCCCATCTCTATTACAAATTCAAAAATTAGCTAAGCGTGGTGGCACACACCTGTAGTTCCAGGTACTGGGGAGGGTGAGGCACGAGAATTGCTTGAAGCTGGGAGACGGAGGTTGCTGTGAGCCAAGATCATGCCATCGCATTTCAGCCTGGTTGATGGAGTAAAACTCTGTCTCAGGAAAAAAATAAATAAATAAAAATTAATAAAAATTGAAATCTCACCTTCTAAGTTACGTATGGATGAAGACATGATATCCAATTCTTTTTTTTTTTTTTTTTTTTGAGACAGAGTCTCGCTCTGTCGCCCAGGCTGGAGTGCAGTGGCCGGATCTCAGCTCACTGCAAGCTCCGCCTCCCGGGTTTACGCCATTCTCCTGCCTCAGCCTCCCGAGTAGCTGGGACTACAGGCGTCCGCCACCTCGCCCGGCTAGTTTTTTTTGTATTTTTTTTTTTGTAGAGACGGGGTTTCACCGTGTTAGCCAGAATGGTCTCGATCTCCTGACCTCGTGATCCGCCCATCTCGGCCTCCCAAAGTGCTGGGATTACAGGCTTGAGCCACCGCACCCGGCCAAGACATGATATCCAATTCTTCCTAGGGCGAAATTCCTCTCCAGCTATGAGCCTGTGAAATGAGACAAGAACTTAACTTGCTTCTAAAATACATTGGTGAAACAGGAATAAGATAGACATTCCACATTCCCATTCTAAATTGGAAGAATCAGAAGGAAAGAAGGGGTCATGGATCTAAACAACAGTACTTAAAACTTCAAAAAATACTAAGATTGTGTAATACTTAACATTTTAATTCAAGTATGGTTTCTAAGGTTTTTTTTAATCCAGGGAGTCCTATCAAAGAGAAATTCAGCTACTTAAAATGACTTGTTTCCTGTAATGATGAAAAGGAATAAGAAAAAAACTTAGGACACTCATCAGTGGATTTTTTTTGGGTCTTGTTGCTGTATTATCAGTAGAAAATGTCAGCAAGGCCAGGTGGGATGGCTCACACCTGTAATCCCAGTGCTTTGGGAGGCCAAGGCAGGAGGATCACTTGAGGCCAGGAGTTCAGAACCAGCCTGGGCAACATAATGAGACCTTGTTCCCCCGCCCTGCCAAAACAAAAATTAGTTGGACACGGAGCTGTGTGCCTGTAGTCATTGCTACTCAGAAGGCCAAGGCAGGAGGATCCCTTGAGCCCAGGAGTTCAAGGTTACAGTGACCTATGCTCAGCCTACTGCACTCCAACCTGGGTAACCAAGTGAGACCCTGTCTCAGTAAAACAAACAAAAAGATACGATCTTACTTACAAATAGTAAAATTTAAAGTTGAACCTTGTGACTTACTCTATTTATAATTACCTCTTATGTTATTTTGAAGAGTCTAAAAAGTACCTTTTACTTTCAAAATTCTATGACTTCTACAAAATAATTCCAAAAGTAAGTCTTCGTCTTGTTTTTTTCCAGGCGCTTGAACACATGCAGAAGCAAACGATAGAGGAGAGAGAAAGAGTTACAGAAGTTGTGGAGAAACAGTTTGACCAGCTTTTGGCTTTTTTTGATTCCAGGTAGTAACTTAAAAATCTAGACTCACTGAAACTGAAGTTTCTAACACTAACTTGTCATTGTATTCCTTTGTTTAGAATGAAGTAATGGGTAACTTTTAAACAAGTTTGGAAGTTGGTAGTCCTTACAGACTGATCTTTAGAACTTCAAAATGAAAAATAATGTGTAAGCTTTTAAAAATTTTGGCTATTTACCTTCTGGTGCTGAAGCTAATGGTTGTTTGTTTGAGACAGTCTTGCTCTGTTGCCGAGGCTGGGGTGCAATGGTGTGATAATAGCTCACTGTAACCTCAAACTCCTGGGCTGAAGTGAACCTCCCACCTCAGCCTTCAAAGTTGCTGGAACTACAGGCCCACACCACCACATCCAGCTACTTTTGTGGTTTTGTTGTTGTTGTTTTTTGTTTTCCGAGGCAAGGCTCTCACTACATTGTCCAGGCTGGTCCCAAACTCCTGGCCTCAAGAGATCATCCTGCCTCAGCCTCCTGAAGTGCTGAGATTACAGGTGTGCAGCACCATGCCCAGCTGAAGCTGTTAACTGTTAAAGAAAAGAAGCTTGGGCCAGGTGTGGTGGCTTACACATGTAGGATTACACAGTGATCATCCTGTCTAAGCTACTTTGAGAGGCTGAGATGGGAGGATCCTTGAGCTCAGGAATTTGAGACCAGTCTGGGCAACACAGTAAGACTATCTGTACAAAAAAAAAAAAATCAGCCGGGCATTGTGCACATTACTGTAGTCCCAGCTACGTGGGAAGCTGAGGTGGGAGGATTGCTTGAGCCCAAGAGATCAAGGCTGCAGTGAGTGGGGATCCTGCCAATACACTCCAGCCTGAATGACAAAGCAAGACCCCCACCTCAAAAAAGTAAATAAGCTTCTGACTTAAAGCAGTTAGCACAGAAAAAGATTTTCATAACCTAAATTATGTTGTGGAATTCCATATACTTGGGAAAATACATAATTTTTTATACATAGTTCTGTCATTTAGTCATGTGCTTTTTTGCAACAGAGCAGAACCCTAATAGGCATTGCTAAATACCTTAAACTATTATATATTCATCACCTATTTAGAAAGCCATTTGACATATATTATCTTTGCTCACATGACGGAGGTACAGTAGATATTCCCTCCATTATGCATTTCAAGAAACAAGCTCTTAAAAATTGTAACATGCTCGGCCAGGCGCAGTGGCTCACGCCTGTAATTCCCGGACTTTGGGAGGGCGAGGCGGGCGGATCACAAGGTCAGGGGATCGAGACCATCCTGGCTAACACAGTGAAACCTCGTGTCTACTAAAAATACAAAAAATTAGCTGGGTGTGGTGGCGGACGCCTGTAGTCCCAGCTACTTAGGAGGCTGAGGCAGGAGAATGGCGTGAACCTGGGAGGTGGAGCTTGCAGTGAGCCGAGATCGCGCCACTGCACTCCAGCCTGGGTGACAGAGCGAGACTCTGTCTCAAAAATAAATAAA